CTCAGCTGTTGCCAGTCTGACAGTTTAAGCCAAGGCACTACAAAGTGTGTCTGAAGATCAGTGTCATAAATGGCAACAAATTCTCTGAAAAGTGCTATAAAGATGGCAATCACAGGGCAGAATTCACCTGTGCCCAATACAGAATGAACCACTGTTTGCACCATGGCCTTTCTATACACACATGCAAAACCCTAATTACTCAAACATCACTAATTTGTTTTAGGTGACACGACAATCTGCTTTATTATGTATTTAACATTTTGCTACTTCACTAAATCAACACTAAGCTGCTTTTGTGTTTCTGGCGGCACCGGAAATCTGAAGGTATGAAAATGAATGTCATGGTCCACAAGAGGTTTGAAATATTAGGGAGGCAGGGGAAAGACTGGCACACTAATATAAACCAGTGTGAGGCCACTGCTCTAGAGCTTGTATTTTTCTTGTTTTCCACACATGCACATACACACATATTCAAAATGAACAAGGCTAAGAATGTGTTCCAAGGTAGAAGTTCTACTGGATGTGAACTATACTAAAGAAAAATTTAGTTTATCAATGGACTACACATTAGGATAGCTGGTAAATCTAAGACACATTAGCATACAAATGTTAGATTACGTAACATTTCTTCACATATATATTTTCCTTATAATTCTATATAGACATCATATTTTCTTCACTGGTAAGGCAGAGGTAAATCTCATACTAGCAAACTGAGCACACATTCAAAATCAGTGGAGGAGGCAGGAGGGGAATCAATGGGAGAAACGTATACTCAGTATGTAGGAGTTTTTTTGTATTTAATTTAGTATTTCAGTATAATAAATTAAATATCAAATCAAATACAATAGTAATCACTTTCATTAGACATTTATATTTACCCTACGTATCCAAACCCCAAACATCTGGAGGCAAAACCAAATTCTCTCTCATGCATATACTTACTATAATCTTTCTTTCCTTCTGCTCTATCAGGTGCTCAAGTTTCCAGGATTCCGTTTGCTAGAGATAGACCCATGGGGATATGCTGCCCCTGCGGCATACCGTTTAACTGGCAGGTAGACTTCCACCATCACCTTTTTGGGCAGTTTCTGTACTAACAACATATACAAATAGTCTTCTACACTACAATACTAATACATTGCAGGAGGCAAGAATATATCCTTCAAAATATGGAACTGTTTTTTGTCTTTGTGTCTAATCCCAGAGTAGCATATAACATGAGCACAAAGCTTAACATTAATTATGAATTTTTATTGACCAAATTAAGGTCTCCCTCTGAACCATACTGCTCAGCAGTTTTAAATTCCAAGCCATACCTTATGATCAATTGCTTAGGCCTTAAATATTAAATAAAATAATGTGCTATTTTAATATGTATGAGGGAAATAAATACTTATGGCACGAGACCACTGTTATTCATATTAAAAAGTCCTCTTGCTCCAGTTAGTTAACAAGCAACAAATATTACTAACCACTTCTACTGATGATTGCCTTAGCAAAAGCAGAATTAGAGGCGTGACATCTACTTTATTTTAGATTAAAAATTTTTTGATTATTGACAAAGACAACTTTTTATTGATTCTAGACTTAAAATATATGATGCTCTGTAAACATACATATTATAGAAATGGTAAGTAATAAAGTAACAGGCTAAGAGTTTTTTAAGGGCTAATCTTTGATAACCGCGATAGATACCATTTTTAGGTTGAAATGTGGGAAAAGGCCGACAACTTGTCCTGTTGGTAAATCTAAGAAAATAGTTCTTCAAAAATCAGCCAATCCATAAGGGATTACAGAATACTAAACTTGTATTCAATAACACTAAGAGACCAAGTAAAACATTTTAATACCTGTTAAATACTATATTTCAATTTCTAAAGTGTAAGAGTGATTTAAATTGTTCATTTTAAAAAGGTAAAGGCTAAAATTCTTTCTAAATTTTTAATTATTAACTTTCCCACTTATCAATGCATATAATAAAGATTGAACTTTTAAAGGTCAAATTGGTACACCTATTGTTCAATGGCTTTTTCATTCTCAATGCAGTCTTTATGAGGTAGTTCAAAATAACTGCAGCGCTCAAAAGTTATCACAGTAATCAACTGGTATTTCTCCAATGCATATATTACATGCCCATTTCAGTAATTTCACAATTGTTTTCATTTTTTGATTATTTTCAGCTTATTATTTCTTATGTATTGTAGCTTCTGGGAGGAAAGTTACATAAAGCATCTGGAAGTAACTGGAAGGTATACTCAAATAAATAAATAAATGAGAGTTTCTTTTCTTTTCTTTTTTTTTTTTTTTGATGGAATATATTTCCTAGAGACAAAAATCTTTAGCAGAGAAGGTAACATTAAATTTGGCACTTAAATATTTTGAATTAACATAGTTGAGAAATATTATGTTAAAAGTTATTTATTTTCTAAAATGTACAAGTTACTGACTCATTTTTATTATCACTCATGCACTGTAAGTCTGGAGAGCAGCAGGTTGCTTGAAGATGCAACAAATATTCTTTCAACACTTCAATAAACACAATGTAAACATTCACTTTAATAATGTTTCCTTTGTTAATGCAAAACTGAGTGCATTTTTTCCTTCCCTCTGGCTGAGCTATGACTAGCTGAGTAGCAACAGCAGAGTGCTGAAAGAATTTTTCAACAGCAATTTGCTTGTTCTAATTTACTTTTCAAGGTTGATGATCAGAATCATTATGTTGCTTGCAAAAAGATCTATTTCTATTAATTTGACCCAGTCATTCCTCTTGTTCTCATCATATTTAGCTTCCCTGGCAGCTTCACCAAGTAAGTTAATTGAATCAGAAGTGCCATTACCACTCCAGTTCTACAGTTTCATATAAAAAATGAACTCCTATGTCCTTCAGAAACAAATCTGCTACACCTGTTGAGAAAGTATAGGTGTACTGAAAGGAGTAACTCATGTACTTCCACAGGATGGTGAGGAAACCTTTGCCTTTTGCTCTTCAAATACTCTTTCTAGTTTAGTAGACCTATGTCTGCAATGGGCAGTACCTACGCATGATCTGTTTAGTACTCACTTTTTTAAAAAATAAGCAATTCTGAGAAGGTCTGCTTTTTGAGCTAGAACACAATCATCATCATCAACAAGATCAAGAAAGAGAAATCTTGTGCAATTTCCAAATTATTTTCTTTCATGTAATTTTACATGACGACTGTTGAAAAAGCAAGGCTTACTCCAAATGTGTAATATTCTAAAAACGTAATGGGAAACAAGCTATTCCCTACATTTGCAATAAATTTCAAAATAGTTATTTTCCCAATCTCCCTTCTGTGAGGGAATGTGTATTACTACAGTTCCAACATTTAAAGAGCTCCAGCTAAGTAGTCTGGAAGTTCAATGGTATCACATTCTTCACACTAAACACACCTATAAAACTAGTGGAGAAAAGAAACTCCAACTTCAACCACTGGCAAATTAATAAGAGTTAACACAAATAAATTAGCTCACACTTTCTTTGAAATTGGGTGTAAGCAGGCTATGTGTATGAAAGAGAAAAATCACAGGGTTTTAAAATATAGTCACTAATTATCTCTTTATAACCTGCAGAGGGCACCCAAGTCCCTTGAAGGAAAAAGTAAAAATTTAAGAGGAATAACTAATTTAAAATTTTTTCATTACAACAAAATTTATAAACATAAAATATTTAAAAGAGGCCATTTAAAGGAAATATGCAGTTTTGACTTTAAATGTCTGACAGATTAGAAATGCAAATTTTCACATCCTACTGGAAAAAAAATTCAGCAGGTGGTTTTTAGTGTGGAGTATTTGTCCATCTGTAAATGCTTGTGCATCACACATTAACAATACACTGATGTCAATTATACAGATTGGCCAGGGCATTAGAAAAATTAACAGCCCTTGCAGTATCCTGCTTATAAGGCAAGAAACTAGTGATACAGGTACAGCTTTGTATTGTTCCAGGCTATACACAAACACTAATGTTATATCCATAAAACAGCTGGTGAGGAAAGTTGGAGGCTAGTTGGAAAGACTTCAGGTCATGAGTTTTAATCACTTTGTTTCAATCACCAACTCATGAGTTCCTTGGCAATTTTCAGTTTAATGAATCCTTTCACTACTATTAACTAATACTGTGTTTGGAGGAAAGATATTTGAATATTCGACCTTAAAATATTCTTTATCTTACATGATACCGACATGTTTCACAGGGAAACCCATCAAGTCAGACACACTAGTGTTGTATACATTTACATAAATTCATATACTTGTATATGTATGTTGTGTGTATATATACATATTCTATGATGGTCAATTTCAAAATATATCCTGTTTTATTGAATAAATATAACTGCACGGAGTGTAATGATTAAAAACACTAGTTTCTTAGCAACATAGCCAATGGGAACCTGCCCTCTATCTTTATAGAATACTGCATCTTATATTTTTCCTGATCCGCAATTTTGTTGTGGTTTAGGAACTTGCTATCAAAATATATTTTGAAACTAGTTATTAAATTGAAACTAGAGGAAGCTGGCTTGGCACAAACATAAGTTAGATATGCACTTCTTTCTGAGTCGTTGTTTCAATTTATAAATTAGATCACAAAAAGTCTGAGCCAAAAAAAGGTATGATAATCTAAATACATCACTTGTATTGTAAAATACTACTAGAATAGTAATTACTAAGCATTAAAATGCTTTGCTTATAATTCAATCATTAATCAAAATCTAATCTTTAAAAACATTTTGTGACAAATCAGTATACTTTTTTTTTTAAAGGTCTTAAAATATACTGGAGGAATAAATCCTCTGATTTGACATCTTGCAAGATAAAGACTGACATTACTATTGAAACAGTTTTAAACAGCAAATTGAGAAACCTAGCATGAAACATGATCTTAAATTTTTTTCTCAAAATACTGTGCAAAATCCCATGTAATATTTCAAAATTTAAAATTATGGAAGAAGAGGTACTCAGATAACTGAGAGAAAGGCAGGCAGAAAAAATTTAATTACTCGAGTATTTTGGTAATGCTGTCACTTTTTTTTTTTTTTTTTAAAAAGCGTCCTGACAATGAATGCAATTATTCTTATAATGGAAACATAAGAAGCTCCTTTGCCTCAAGAAAAGAAATAGTTAACAAAGCTTCAGAATCATTAGTCTTAAGGTGGATAACCGTGTACTGCAACACATTTTCCTCAACTGGATTTCTTTACCACACAGTATGACATTTTCTAATGGTGGTGGTGGTGGTGGTAGGGGAAAGGTGAGAAGAAACCACGCAGCTTAATAAAACAGAAGCATTTTCTCAGCCTAAGTTATAGCCACTGCTTTGATTTTTGGGTTATCTCAGGGCCAGTAAGTATACTCTAGTGCATGAAACAAAACTAGAAGCAATACTTAGAATGTAGTCTTTGTTTCTTCTTTCTTCAAAGCCTGTGTTTCCTAATATCATTGTTAGGCAAAGCAAAAAGAAATGTTTGTTCTATTACGTAAGACATAAACTTCATTTGGTATTCAATTGACTTTCTAACTTAGCAGACAGGACTTTACATCTTCAAATACTGAAAATAAATTGCATTCTTGGCCCTTGCTTTAAAAGGTTATAGAGAATAAACGCACACCCTGGTAGTGTTCTAGTGATCTCCCTAATCTCAGTTGCACTTTGTCAGAACGAGGTAACTGGTAGTTAAGTGAAATACCCTAGATCAAAGGGGGATTAATCACCAACTGAATCCTTGCTGAATAAACCTGTCATTCAAGAAAATTATTTCCACTGAACTTAGCAGAGGATTGAAGGTATTTGCATAACAGGGACCAACGTACTTCAGCCAGGTTAAAAGGTTCAGAATTCATCCCATGTTTAGCTTTTTGCCTCCTTTTCCTTTCAGCAGCCTGGTACAATGGTTTCTAATCTGATAATACAGCTAACTATCTAAATGATGTCAGAACAGGAAAGTATTGCAAAGTTTGGATGAGGGATGGATCAATTTCACTTTCAGTAACTCCTAAATCTGATTTGTTGGAATTTAAGATGTAATCCTAAAAAAGTCCCTTAAACCTGAGGACTGTTTATTAACACCCCTTTTTTTGACCTTTGTCTTAGGAACAACCATTCTGTTGTGGCAGCAGTCCCTACAGAAGTCCTGGATGATAATTCCACCTACCTAGCTCCCAGGGGTAGTGTAGCAGTTTATCAATGTCTATGAAGTATTTTGAAATACTATAACAAAAACCAAAAAAAATTGGCAATTGTGACTAAGTATAAATGTCTGCCTTGAAAGATCTTAAATCATACAATGTATAAAAACACCATAATAATTTTAATCCAGTAGAAATACTGAATTGGTGTGAAAAAATGAAAACTATTTTATGGGACAGACTAATGTTTAATACAAAAATTTTTTTAAACAAATAATTGTCATCGGAATTCCTGACAAGCCTACTGCAAACTTGACATTTGAATCAATTGCTTAAAAAGTTAAAAAAAAAAAAAATGCCACTACTGTAAGGGTGTATTGCTTGAGTACTATATTGCTGGCTTTAAAAAGTTTTTAAAATATTGTTTAGTAAAAAATGGAGAAAAGGGTTTACAAAATCATGAACCATCTTTTCTGGAGTTCATTCTAAAAAATTTAACACTTTTTTTTTTTAACCTTTCGAATTTATTGAAGAATAATTACCTATGTGATAGACATCAGATTTCATAATCATATTTTGGCACTAAAAGGGAATTTAGCAATTTTGCATCTAGAGAAGGTCTGACACTATCCAAATCTTTCACTGGAAGTAGCTGCTCATATGCACTGCAAACGCAAAGCATCTTTCAAGTTAAAAAATGCAAAGAATAGTTATCAAAGAAAATGAATAAAATCCATAGTGAGATAATTTTTTAGAAAATGATTGAAGTTTTAACCCAAGAAAGGACTCTTAGAGTGTCTTATAGCTTAGAATAAGAACATGTCAATCACGATTAAGCTTCTGGAATAGGAATCCCTTTGAAATGCAGCTGTTTCTTCTTTAATTGTGGCAGCAGACTCTGAAGAAAAGAAAGGTCCAGCCTTAAAGATGAGTAAGGAATACAAAATAGCTCAGGATTAGTTGTGGAGTTCAAAGGTCGCTAATTACACTAAGGAGTTCCCAGACACAGGGAAAACATTAAACAGGTCACCTACCAAACGGGAAACAGACTCTGTCTTCAGAAATTATCCTGAAGTGACAGGTTTCTAGACAAAATCAAAAGCATCACAGTGTGCCCAGCTGATCTCAATGGGATGAAAACCTAAGTTGGTTCAGTTCTGTAGCACTATGTTAGAATGGAATGGCAACAGATGGCATCAGGTTCCCCAACACCTCATCACTTTTCCAGGACACCCTAGATTTTCCTCCAGTTTCTAGAAATGCCAAATAGAAGATTCACTGATTTTTCTAACTGCTTATAAACTTTTGCCTAGGGGATTATTATATTAAATCTTCGCCTACTCACTAGATAAATGCCTCTTGCTTACCTTAGTGTATTTGGTAAACATTTATACAATCAAGATTCCAAATGGCTCCATTACCATTAACTTATCAACATAAGTGAAATGTTAAGCTTTATTTGAGTTTAAGAGAGATCAAATAACTTACAGGGAATGATATTTTCTTCTTTCTAAAGGAAAGTTTTCACTGCTGATTATCTATGATTAAGCTAGAATAACAAGTTAAAGTCCTGGTCACGCAATTATTCTTTTTTCTTTGTTACATGGGATAATTTTGAACACAGAACCTTATGCCATGATAATGCTTTGCAGAAAATGAGTTTATGAGTAGGACTGACCTTAATTAAAAAATCATATTTCAAATCCTAAATTTATATGCACAATCCCTTTAAACTATCATGCTCTTTTTTGAGGAGTTAGCAAATTTTCTAAGCTTTTCCTTAGAAGACTCATTAAAAAACAGAACCCAAGATATTATCAAATTGAGTATTAATCTTTAATGCATATTTTTTTCTAATCTGTAAAAAGACATGAATGAAGTTTTGAGGTTCGTGAGATTTCATCTTTTCTTGAATGGTCACTTAAAGTCCAACTTGACAATGAACTGCTCTGAAAACATAATATGACATATAATTGCAGAAGTAGGTAGAGAATAAAGATGATTAGATGGTTTCTGAAGAAATCAAGAGAATGGTAAGAAAGTGAGAGTGACAGCTTTAAGGAGATATATACTACATGTGACTAAAATAAGCTTAAATGATACTCTCTACCCACAGAGTGCCTTTTGAATTTTTTTCCAGAATTCATTCATTAATTTTAACTTAATAAGACACAGAAAGAGCAGTATTAGATCTAAATTACCTTTAAAAATTTAGCTGCAGACATTAAACGATTACAAAACACTATGATCCTCTTCTGAAGCTATTCCACACATCTTAATATGGCTACTGACATCCTAAGCAAAATGTCATTGTGGCAGATTAACAAGCTTACTTAAAAACTAACTCTCGAACAGAGATTACACACCTTAAGTAGAAAAGTAGAATTATGCAGATTCTTTATTAGTCAATAGGATAGTTCTGATTAAGAAGAACAGGTTACTACTTAAACACTTTTCCTTTGTCTCTGTTGGCTGTTTTTTGAAGAGATGTAGTTGTTTCTAACATGGCCTCTGGTATTGTGCAACAACACCTTATACTAGGAGCTTAGTACTTAGATGTGGAAGAGAAAATAGTTTTTATATTGCACATCATCTACAACCCTGAATCTCTGAACTGAAAAGGAGCCTGACCCTTTATCCAAGGCTCAGTACAGAAAAGGGCTATAATTGATTAGCAATGTCTGCCACAGAAACACTAAGAAACAAGTGTGGCAGGGTGACCCAGGACTAGTCTAAAATGAGCCCAAGTGAATCATTACTTTTCTATGTTCTGAATTATACTGGCATAAAATCAAAGGTTAACAAAATTGGAGACATTAGCTTTTAAAACATCCTTTCAAGTTCTATCAGACTACAAACACCAAATAAGACTACTTTTACAATTAAATAATTCAGTGATTTTTCACTCACAGGTTCTATGCATCCACATTAAAAATGTAAGATTATGATTTCCTTCAAACTGTTATCATTATATAATCCCATTTAAACATGAGACTATTACAGTAATAATGATCCATATGTTACTGGAGCGGGGGCTTTAGAATTCCAGATGTAATAATCAGAAGAAATTAGTTTCCGGTCTAAAGAAAAGAAAAAGAAATTAATGATAAGACTATTTTATCTTAGCAAAAATTCAGCGAGAGCAAAGTCATGATTTTTTGAAATTGTGCAATGCAGTTATTTCAAGGCAATACTTTGAAATATTCATTTTAATTTGATATTATCAAGACTTTATTATAACTTTTACCATTTTACAAATACGGACTCATTAAATATTTGAACAACCCATCTTTGACCTTACATGAAATATCTCTCATTTGTGCCAAATCTGCCAATTTTATCTTCACATTTTCTCTAAAATCTTTTTCGTATGGACCATTACTCTGACTGTAAAAACAGTAAACATTTTTCATTGGTTTCTCTTCTATAACCTTATCACAATGGCCCTGATTCTGGGTCTTGCTATTCTTTACCCAAAATGTCAGAGATATAAATTAACACCCAACTTCCTAGCAACATTCTAAACGGTTCGCTTCACTGATTTCTTATTCTAGTTCTGATCAATTTAAGCCTTTTTAAAAATAGCTTTGAAACCCTACAAAAATGGCAACCTATTTGAACTAAAGTTTTCTGATATGTAAAGTTGAGATAATAATGTTCATTTGGAATTACATATGTAAATTCTTTATATATATATAATTAAATATCCAATTAAATATAATTAAATACACAATTCAGCCTTCACTTTCTTCTTCATGCCCTTCTTCATAAATGAAAAGAATATAGACTATATTGTCTTTTTTGTTCTCTTCAAAGTACTCAAACCCAGTAACAATGAGTGGCAAGACAGCATACTGTTAAGTGGACAGGTTCTAGAGCAAGAATGCTTGAGTATCTGACTCCCAGTTCTGCCATTTACTAGCTATGGGACCCTAATCTCTCAGTTCCATCAGTGTCCTCATCTGTAAAATGGAGATAACAACACTTACATAGGGTGCTGTGAGGATTAATGAGATAATATACATAAAACACTTAGAACTTTGCCTGGCATATAGTAAGCAATAAATATTAGCCATTATTATTTAAATTATCATTAGCCATTATTATTTAAACTTACTAAATTAATTAAATTAGCCATTACTATTTAAAGTATTATTATTACTATTTTTAAACTAAGTTGTATATTTTGAAAATAGATTTTATTGTCAAGATGATGGCAAAATAAAGTTTTACATAATTGCACAAACTGGCAGTCAGATTCCGAAACTAACAGAGGAAGAAAAGATGGGTCATAATATTAATTTAAAATGAGTTCTTTCATTCAACATATTTTGTATTAAGAAGTAGGTATATTCCCATCCTGTATTATGCTCTCTGGAAATTACTGTGGTATGTTTAGTTAACATAAATAAATTAAAATATTTTCCCATAGACAATCTAAAATACTGGTCTGTTTGCTTTCAGTGTCCCATATATACAACAAAAAAATGATGTAAGAGAAAACACAGGGCAAGCCTAGGGAAGTAAAGAATACTGGTTTACTCTGGTTACATTACATAGAAGTTATATTGTCATGCACAGTAGCTGCTTAAAATTCTGTAGTTCTAAGTTCTCTAATTCCCTTGAAATGTCCATGGAGAGTCCTTTCCTCTTCTTCCTGTTTTAGGAACCCTAATCCTTAGTTTAAGAAATATTAATCTAACTATAATAATAAAAATGTGTGTAAATTGGGATCATTCTTGTCCACACATATAACAGCTTTATTCTCCTTGAGGCAAAAAGGTTTTGCTTAAGTTTAGGTAACTCTACCTCATTTTAGCTACTATTCTATGTTACATATTTCCATTTGATCTGAATTAAATAATTTTGATTCATTTATAAATTGTTTGTTTGTCTCATTATATTTTCATATGTTGTGTGTGTGTGTGTACACACATATAGATCCATACTTTACCAACCATTAAACATACTAAAATCCGGAAACGTCTTTTTTATTGTCTTCCTATTGATTAAGAATAGAGGTGCTAAATAATGCTTATTGATTGCAATATTTGCTAAAGATATTTGAAAGTTTTAAATAAGAACCATCTCTAGTATCTACTAAATCCATACTATATGCTAAGTATCATACTGAGTCAATATAATCTTATTTAAACCTCATAACAAGCCTGAGGTAAATCACACTATTATTTCCATTTTATAGACAAGAAAATTAAAACTTCAAGAAGTTCACTAATTTGCCCAAAGTTATACACCTAATGAAATGGCTGAGCCAGGCTTAGGTCCTGTCTGTTCAACACCACAGTCTCTGTGAATCATCTCTGAATAAAATAACCAGAGAAAAACAAATCTAATTTTATACTGAAGTTCACCTCTATCCCAATCTTTGCTCATCCAGACCACTTTATAAACAAGGAGAAGGCAGAGGACAGTGCAAAGTACACAAACAGTTATGTGGGGTAGGATAAGTCCAGAATTTTATAAATTGGGATTATTCTCTAATTTCTAAATTCTGTTACATTCAAATTTTACCTTAGGTAATAACTGCAAACACCATTTTAGTTCCCTTAAGTTAGTTTGAATCTGTATAACTTACATGCACTTATTTTTGGTTTTCCTGATGCAAAAACTTGAACTGAATGCTGATCTGCGTAACACCCAGTGAGTGTGTAATCTAAGATCCTAAAATGAAGCTAGAAAGAAGAGAGAAATATACCAAATTAAGGTGATCATTTGGTAAAAAGGATGGTGACATTTTTTCCCTTGACCCAGTTTTAGCGAATTTATTTTACACAGTTGACAAAATAAAATAAAAAATTTAATACACAAGTATTAAACTTGAATTGTGTGTGTGTGCATGTGTGTGTGCACACATATGTATACAAAAACACACACATAATTTTTTTTCCCTTTGCCTTAGGGCCATTTCTTTGTAAGGCTGTCATTATGAAGTACTTAACACACAATATGCACTTCACTAACAGCTCTAATCCATACTGCAAGGTATGCTGAGTGAATTGAGGTTCAAAGATGGAAGCAACTGGTATCCCAGCACATAAGCAGCAGAGCTGGCATTTGAACTCAGACCACACCGACTCCAAAAGCTGGTGCTGTCTCCCACTGTGCTGCTGTCTTGTATGCCGTATATTCTCTTCTATCCCTAGGGCTACGTGGTTATGATATATTCTAGATCATAAGTCTTTTACAGGCAGGAAAGTGTAAACCTTCTAGCAAAATATAATGTAATTATGAAAACAGAAACATCAGTTTATCTTGTGTTTGGGGTGAATGAGCTGTACTACTTAATTTTCCAGAAGGGTGAAATTTAACTTTTATAGAACTAAGCTTAGGAATTACCTTTTCCCTTACCTAGAAAACCTTTCTAAAACATCCTCCATAATTCCTGGATTTCATTGACAATGTGGGGCTATCACTACACATGCCAACTATTACACTGTGCTGTAAGAGAGTGAATCATTAGTACCTTCTCTGAAGACATAGCACACTCTGTTGTCCAGGTTGCAGTGTAGTGGCCAGGGTGCCCCTAAGTTACAATAACATTCACATGACCTGTGAAAAAAATCTACATTTCATGGAGCGCCTGTTCTCCTTTGCTGTGATTCTCCTCATCTCTGCTGCTAAATGCTCCCGATTTTTGCAGTACCCTGATATCTTTTTATATATTTTTTCACCTATCTCTATTCCCACAAAATTTCTCCCATTTCCTAACTTTATTAATTACCAAACTAACTGATCACATGCATAGGATGGGATTTAGAATGTAATTTTCAGATCTTCTCAGCAATTTTTTTTTCCTGTTGCAACTCAAATTATCTCTGATAATAAAGGGCTTTTGCTTGTTTTTTTGGTATAATTCTCAATGCTGGTATAATTCTCAACGCTGGTATAATTCTCAATACAACATTAAGTATAGTTATAAGTATAAGTTATGACCAGACTGATATCCATACAACTGAAATACTGTAAAACACACTTAGATCATTCAGTCAACAAAAATATGTGCTACATGCTTTCAATGTGAGTGTAACTGGTTGGTGATGGGAATGAATAGAAAAATCATAATTCCAACCCATGAAGGACATACAATGTGTGGTAACATTCCACATTTTTTTCTGAAAGGTATCTGAAGTAGGAATTTTTATAATAATCCTTGAAACAAAGCTTCTGGACACAAGTGAAGCCAAGATAGAAGAAATGAATTATCACCAGTATACTTCTGACTTCACTACCACTTCCCCTAATTGCCTGTATTTCTCTTGATTTCTTTAATACATTTTATTTAGGTTTTCTCGCTACCTTTCTAATCACTCCTTCAATTGCCTCACTTGTTCTTCTGAATCTTCCTGTATTATTTTATCTTTTTTCGGTTATTTATTTTCACTGCCTCAACTATTTCTTCTCTGTGGATAATTCCTAAATCCTTATATACAGCTGAGCCTTCTCTTATGAATCAAGCTTTAGATTTTTAGCTACCCACTGAACATTTACAATGGGCTATATTGCTATTACCAGCCAAAAATATGATATGAAACCCATTTCTTCCCAATTTTCTTCATATCAATAATTTAGGTATATTCATTCATTCAGCAAATATTTATGTGCTAGGTCCTGGACTAGATATTTGGAATAAAACAATGAACGAATGAGATTCACATGTCTCTACCCTCTTCAAAAGCGTCAAATTTGGTTTAAGTTCCATTTTTTTTTTTTAACAATATCATCTTTGAACAACAACATTTCTTGTCTCTGTATTTACTTAGTAGTCAAGGCTTTACTTTTATCACAGCTTTTACAGCAGTCCCTTCATTTTTCTCCCTTTTCCCTTCTTTTCTCTTTCTGTTGACACTACACTAACTCAGCATTATTAACTTATTATAATATTACCCTTTCACATGGAATATTAATATGCTATAGATTGGCTTGTCTCTAGTTTTTTTACTCACCTTGCTTACGTCCATTCCAGATTAACATTCATAAAGTATCACTTGTGAAAGACTACTCCCCTACTTAAAAAAGTACACCATCAACCAAAGGAATAAAAGTCAGATTCAAATTCTGTATAATCTTAATCTAAATTATGTATCCAGTCTCTTATAGTACTACTACTTTTAGCACTGGTTTCTAAGCATGCCTTGTTTATCCTTCTTTACTCTTTTAAGTAACTTCTTTACCTAAACAATTGTTAGTCAGTCTTCAAGTCTTCATATTCATGCATATCTAGGCCTCAGAGTTTGGCTTAAACTTCACCTCCACTGTAAAGCTTTCCACAATAACTTCAGCTGTAGCACCTTTTTCTTGAAATATCAAAGCTGTTAGCACTGATAAATTGTTGATGTACAACACTGAAAAATTCTTGGAGGGTAAGGACTACATCTTCTATTTTTTGTACACAAATCTCAAATTTTTTGTTTCTTTTTGAGACAGAGTCTTACTCTATCACCCAGGTTGGAATGCAGTGGCATTATCATGGCTCACTGCAGCCTTGAACTCCCCAGGCTTAGGTGATTCTCCTATCTGAACCTCCCAAAAAGCTGTGACTAAAGGTGTGCACCACCATGCCCAGCTGATTTTTCTATTTTTTGTAGAGGTGGGGTCTCACCATGCTGGCCAGGCTGGTCTTGAACTCCTGGAGTCAAGTGATTCACCCGCCTTGGCCTCCCAAAGTGCTGGGATTACAGGTGGGAGCCACCAGACCTGGCCCAAATCTCAAATTTGATAACCAAGAGCTGAGTGGAATTAGACTGAGTTGGGGTATTTAGGTTAGCTGGTTCCCTTTAAAAAAACACAAAAAACCCTTGTTTAAAAGAGATCTGGTTGCATTCTGTTGTCCAGGTTGCAGTGCAGTGGCAAAATTTAGCTCACTGTAACCTTGAACTCCTGGGCTTGAGCGATCCTCCCACCTCAGTCTCGCCAATAGCTGGGACTACAGACACCCCGCCACTACGCCTGGCTTTTTAAAATGTTCAAGTATTAAGTGAAATAGAAGTGACTAATACTAAACAACAATAAAAAATCAAACAAAAATCCAAAAGAGAACTTACACCAGACAAAAAGAATAGAATTCTAAAACAATTGGTGGAAAACATTTAAAATCAACTAGAAATATGCAATTTATAAACAAAGGAAGGGCTCTACTGTAGTAAGCCATATAAATACGTTTACCTTTAAATATGCTGTTTCTCCAATACAAATTGGGTCAAATGGCTGCTTCTCATGGCTCTTGGCTCCAAAAGTTACAGTTCCAGAAAGACTAATTTCCATTGATTTTGGGAACTTCTGGCCTAAAACACAAATATACCAATCAACTATTCTAAATCAAGTAGATTCTGTAGTAAATGAAAAGAAAAAAAAAAACCAATAAATAAAACTTGCTCACCAATAATCCAGATCAGTAAGCTTTTCTCTCGAAATACTTCGAGCTGGCCAAAACTAGTTTTATATTCCAAATGTGTAATTGGACCTCTTTAAAAAGAAAGGGATAAAATAGAAAAAGATCACAGATATAACAGTTTTAAGAGATCTAAGTCAAACTTGGCCACTGTTACTTAATACAAGGACAGCATAAAAGCAGATGTGTATTCAAGTTTCCAGAATAGAAAAAATAATGAATATTAAATCTTGAAAAACAATAAAACACACATAAACATTTTTGGTGATGATGTGTATTTCATTATTAGTTCTTAAGACAACTATGAAATCATATAAAATGTATTAATACAGTCACATAGGTTGCTGTAACATTAAGACTATGGTTTTACTACATATGTAGATATACTTTTACAAAAATCTGTGCTGCAGTATAAATTTAAAAGTAGAACTGATAATAAAGTAATATTATAATTGGCTAATTCACCGAGTTGTTGATAGTTTGGTTTGACTTGTATATGGAAAAATTGCTAGAAAAATAATTCCTGAGGAAGCTACATTGGTTTAAGTGTATAATTTACTAGTAAGTTTTACTAGAAAGATAAAGGCATATTTAAAGGTAAACAGATTATTTTTATGACTATATCATGAAAATCAGCATTCATTTGAATAGAATAAAATTATTCAGACCTTAAAAATAAGGTAAAAGAGAAAGACAATTTATTGTGGAGCAGTGGGAATGTATTAAGGAAGACAGAAATTATGGCAATACAGATTTTATTCCTACCTATTGTAAAAAGGTATATGAGCTTCACAGAATTCAAAATTATTTTTCACACTTTCGTGAAGTTTTAAATTAATGGTTATTCTTAGTTGTACTTCTTCCTCCTTCAATTGATAAAATCCCAAAATTGGTGGGACAGGGACCTAAAAAGAAACATAAATGTCTATATAATTCTCAGGTTAATGGGTCTAAAACACCAAAAGTAACTGAGAAGAGTTACTTTTAATGACTTAGAGGTTATTCCAAGTTGTTTTAGTAACAGCAATGATGAATCTATATTCGCTTTAAGGATAGGGATTCTTCTTTCTGTTTTCAGAGATGAGAAAAGTGCTTTACAAAGGTGTACAATGCATTCTTGTTCCTATACTTGCTCATCCAGGCTCCCCGTCTCCATGTTCTCTGACCTGCAGCATAGGGTATACAGTAGGTGTGCAGCAGGCACTGCCAATCTGCCCACAGCTCCTGTTCTCCAATTGAATCCCATGAGTTCTCCAATCCCCTCGTTCAGCAGTAACTTACTTGGTTGGTCATCAATAACTGACTGAAGGGGAAACAACTTGTAGGCTGGGGTGAGCCAATCATTATTTCTGGTACATGTGAAGTAAGACACAGACAGACTACTTACACAGTGCAAGCCCTAGAGCTGTAAGGTCATGTGTTAGCAGAGAAAGCCAGCTGAAAGAGGAGACTGAGAAGCAGACACGTGACAGACAAGGTGGACCTTGAGTACAGGCTGATATTAATTTTCTGGTTCCAGTCCCAGCAAGAACTGTGTCTGCTTCTTTTCTTATTCTTAAATGGCAATGAGACTGCCTATTGCATTCTCAAAATAAATTTGCTCTACTTAAGCTAGCTTGAGTAGGTTTTTCTAACCTGCTCATCCACAACTAGGACAAGAGATAAATGGTATAGTAGAAAAGAGGTTTGGGAGTCTGAAAAATTGGGGTTCAAATCCAGGCAGTGCCATTTATCAACTATAGACCTGGTGCAAGTCATTTCACTTCTCTGTGACTCTCCTGAGCTGTAAAATGGGGATAATGTCTAATTAAAGGTTGTTACCAGTACTACAGTACTAGAGAAAATACATGTAACATGCTTAGGACAATGTCTAACACACAAGCAGTTATTCAATAAATAAATAGATATGAGTAATAATATATATTTGTCATTCAGGTTGCCTGCGATGAGGGGTATTTTATTACGTTCATGGTTAAAACCACGACTAAATCATACCAAAATCTATCCCATGACCGTGAACATTTTTAGGGAACATTAAAACAAAAAATTCAATTATTTTGAAAGCTGTTTACAAGTAGTTACCGACACCAAAGATAAGACGTATCTCATTCAAAGAAGTGAATCTTTTTTTTTTTTTCTTGAGATGGAGTCTCACTCTGTCACCCAGGCTGGAGTACACTGGTGCAATCTTGGCTCACTGCAACCTCCGCCACCTGGGTTCAAGTGATTCTCCTGCCTTGGCCGCCCAAGTAGGTGGGACTACAGGCGCACGACACCATGCCTGGCTAACTTTTTGTATTTTTAGTAGAGACAAGGTTTCACCATGTTGGCAGGCTGGCCTTGAACTCCTGACCTCCAGTGATCCACCCGCCTCAGCCTCCCAAAGCGCTGGGATTACAGGCATGAGCCACGGTGCCCGGCCTAAATCTTCATCTTCATTCATCAATTATTGTCTGATAAATAGAACTTTTTCTAAGTTCTCATACCAAGAGTGTGAATTATTTACTTATCAATAGTATTTATGAATATAAAGATCAGCAAACTCTCAACTATTCTAGGGTTGTTTACCTGGGAAGTGTAGTAGCATAAGTTGAATGACTCTAAAGGTGGAGTCAATGGAAATTTGTAAGGCCCACTAAATGCAGAGTCATCCATTGCATCAATACTACTAGAAGTCAGAATTGCAGAGTCAAGAGAAGTTACACAAGGATGAACTAGAATATCTTGAAGTGGAGATCCATTGGTGGGGAGATTCAAGCTGATGGTAACATTTGGCATGATTCCTTCCAAATCACACTGAAATGCAAACAGAAAGATTATCACCAAAATCTCAGAAGCAAATGTCTGTTTCAGGCTTCTCAAAATTTACCAAAGTCATTTTCCCCAATTAACTTGCTTTTCTCTAGGTATTGTTCTCTTTGCTTTCTGTGTTCTTATTAATGGTATCATGTTCTTACACACCCAAGCCAGAGACCAGGAGGGCCCTCATAGACTCCATTGCTTATCTCTAAAGCTCTTACAAAGATAATTTAAATCTGCTCAATTTTCTCCATTCCTGTTGAACCACATTAATACGGGCCCTTACAATTTCTGCCACAGCCCACTAAATATTTCTGGACTTGCTTTCCTATAATCAGTCCTCTAATCCTCCATTCTCCTAGCTCTCCATGCCAGAGCTATCTTAATGAAACATAATTTTATTATACTTTTTCCATGCTCGAATGCTTTCAGTGATTCTACTTCAATTCTGAATTACTTGTAAAGCCTTTCATTGTTTGGTTCTCATCTACCTCCTTTTTATTTTCCTTCAACTTTTAAGTTTTGGGGTACATGTGCAGGATGTGCAGGTTTGTTACCTAGGTAAACGCGTGCCATGGTATTTTGTTGCACAGATCATCCCATCACCTAGGTATTAAGCCCAGCATCCATTTGCTGTTCTTCCTGATGCTCTCCCTCCCCTAACCTCCCCAACTGACAGGCCCCAGTGTGGTCGTTCCCCCCGTGACCGTGTGGTCTCGTCATTCAGCTCCCACTTATAAGTGACAACATGCGGTGTTTGGTTTTCTGTTCCTGCATTAGTTTGCTGAGAATAATGATTTCTAGCTCCATCCATGTCCGTGCAAAGGACATGATCTTGTTCCTTTTTATGGCTGCACAGTATTTCATGGTGTATATGTACCACATTTTCTTTATTCAGTCTATCATTGATAGGCACTTATGTTGATTCCGTGTCTTTACTATTGTGAATAGTGCTGCAATGAACATACGTGTGTATGTATCTTCATAGCAGAATGATTTTTCTTTAGGTATATACCCAATAATGGAATAGCTGGGTCAAATGGTATTTCTGCCTCAATGTCTTTGAGAAATTGCCACAGTCTTCCACAATGGTTAAACTAATTTACCCTCTTACCAACACCGTAAAAGTGTTCCTTTTTCTCTGCAATCTTGCGAGCACCTGTTGTTTTTTAACTTTTTAATAATAGCCATTCTGACTGGTGTTGGATGGTATCTCATTGTGGTTTTGATTTGCATTTCTCAAATGATCAGTGATGTTGAACTTTTTTTCATGTTTGTTGGCTGCATGTAGGTCTTCCTTTGGCAAGTGTCTGTACATGCCTTTTGCCCACTTTTTAATGGGGTTGTTTTTTAATCTACCTCCTTAATAATTTTCTACCCTGCAACTTACATGTAGTCATATTGGATTCTTGCATTTTCCTAAATAAACCATACTGTCTTATACCTCCAAATGCACCTTTGCATGTGCTATTGCATGTGCTATTCCTTCCAGCTGCAATGTTTTCTCCCTGTAAATGCTTTCATTCTTCATGTCTTAGCTCATTTGATGCTCTCTGTGAAGTCTTACACTCTCTATCACCTCTATAGCCTACCTTTGCTATGCAGAGAAGCCCAGGATCTTCTTCCCTATGTAGTCTGGGTTAGTTTGCCAATGAGAGGTACTCATGAGAGATTCACAAGGGAAAAGAGAAAAGGAAGTAACTTTTCTTGAAAGTTCCTTGAAGCCAGATAGGTCAGCTTCTCAAACCTGTCCTTGAACTCCTACTTCAAGGCCAAAGTGGCCAGATGCTATACTTCTGCGGACCTTTCCTTGAATTTCCTCTGTGAGGTCATTAACAGACAGACATGGCAGTTTCTCAGACTTCTTTGTGAACTTTTGATTTGACTATCTCCTCAGTGACTGTTTCTGAAAGGCTATAGCTAGAGGATCAAAGACTTATTTCCTCAGTGCTCCTTGAATAAGCCCTAATTTCTATGTTAAACATCTTTACTCCTATAAATCTTATAGTGGCTTCTTCTGGCCCAACCAGACTGACATACTTTACTTGTGTTTGTGTAGGTAGCCAGGGTCTTTGTACCTCTCTCTTGAAATTCACCTCTATTAAAGCCTGGATCAAACTGACCAACTGAGCCCCATAAGAATTATTAGTATCTTGTTTCACCAGAACTACACAATATTTTAAGAGTTAGTGAACTCTGAAAGCATAACACTTAGTTCCTAATGCACTATCATATACATAGATTGCACCATGCATTAACTGTCCACTATCTACAGGTATCTGGTCCATTTCTCTTTTCAAGTTTTAAATTCTTTGAAACAAGAATCGTTACATTTTTCTTAGTATCTCTAGTGCCTGACACATTTCTATGCATAGAAAACAGTAATAAAAAATGTTTGCTGACTGGCTATCTTTTTCTAATTATAAACCTACTTTTGTTTTCAATTTCTAATATGAAATGTTTCACTTTTAATGTTTTATCTACTATTTGACATGTGTGGGAATTCATTATGTATCTGCTATACAATGTAAGTACTTAGCAGGCAGGCATTATGAAGAGTACTACATATAATCAGTGCCTTTATAAGGTCTGTCAGTGACAATTACAACAATGTCAGTCACATTAAAAATAAATATGCCATATAATCTTACTTTAAAACTTAAAAAAAAAAACTTAGGGTTTTAACTTTTAAACCATCTGCTATTTTCTATATGTGAACTAATAAGAACAAATGAAAAGTAGTTTTGTTTTTGATAGATATTTATGGAGACAAAATAAGCAAACATCAATAGTAAATACCATTATAATTTAATAATATTCAGTTTATACTTAGTAAATTAATCTCTTAACATTCGTAAAGGGTCAGAGAAACATCAGCCATCATGGAACCTGCCAATGAATCTATCTGGGCACTTAAAATGCCAGATCATCAGTTATTTACTATAGGATGAGAACATCCATTCTAGAAGGAATTGGTGTACTACCCTTTAAACCAATCTGGCATATGTAAACCCAACTTTAGCAGTAAAAGTTATTAAAGAAAAAAAAAGGCACCTAAGAGTTTATCTCATTTTAAAAATGAGAAAAGATTCACAAAATTGTGTAACTTTCTAAAGACATACAGAAAATTAGTGGAAGAATGAGGTCTAGAACTTTGGACCACTGGCCTTTGGCTCTGGTTTTCTACCAGAGTAGGATAAAATGAAGATGATTATTTCCATTTACAATGGGCTTCACAATAAAATTCCTTTAAACAGTAAGTTTTGGAAGTACTTAAAGAATGTCTGGCTAACAGTTATGTTATGTACATACAACCTTAAAGAAACATTTAGCATGTAGGTTAAGGTATACCCCTTTTTTTTCCCTTAAGAACATTTTTTAAATAAGAAAATTGCCCATCATGATAATCTGTATCAGGACTAAGAGTAGGAACCAATCTGAAATTCTCCTACAAGTAAACTGCAGTCAGCCTATCAATGAACAGACACATTAAATGCCATGGTATTAATTAGCATTATATCAAAAATAACATATTCCCTATTTATTGCTACAGAATGAAAAAAAAACAGAACTGGTGAATTTTTCTATTTTATTTTTTTTAAGACAGAGTCTAGCTCTGTCACCCAGGCTGGAGTGCAGTGGCACAATCTTGGCTCACTGCAGCCTCTGCCTCCCAGGTTCAAGTGATTCTCATGCCTCAGCCTCCTGAGTAGCTGGGATTACAGGCGTGCTCCATCACGCCTGACTAATTTTTGTATTTTTAATAGAGAAAGGGTTTCGCCATGTTGGTCAGGCTGGTCTCAAACTCCTGACCTCAAATGATTTGCCTGCCTTGGCCTCCCAAAGTGCTGGGTTACAGGAATGAGCCACTGCGCCGGGCCCTATTTTTCTATTTTCATTTCATTGAACTTATGAGAAAAAAGATTCAACTACTTTAAAACTTAAGAATGACATAATCCATGAACACCTCAATTTTGGAGCCATTTACAATAGTTATTTCTAAGAAAGTGAGTAACTGGAGTGTATTTTTGACCACGATAGATATGAGTTTAAAATAGGCACAAAAACTTTTACGTAACTTTAACGTTAAACAGGATAAAAAAAAAAAGACCCAATATTTCTGTCAGGACTGTTCTAATTCTCTGCTCTTGAACTCTAGTTTTATCTATCAGATTTATATACAGCCACACATTAAATTTGACATATAAAAAATATACATAACTGCAGGGAACAAAGAAAGAAAAATAAAGAAATGAGAATACTATTAATATAAACTTGTAGAAAGTTTACCTGGAAGATTTTATTTTCAATCATTATTCAACATGGCATGACTCACCACTAACTGTATTGTTATTTCCATTGTCTTTTCCTTCCTATTTTCTATTTCTACAGAGAACCCAATATTAATCTAATGACTTATTTAAATAAGAGTCCTTCAATATAATTTTAGATATGTCAGAGATGTCAATTTCACCCCCCAAAGAAAATGGAAAATAGGAGTGGTGACTTTAAAGTATGTTCTGAAGTTATTTGACGTTACTCTTTTCATAGGTGGAGCTTAATTCCATGCCCCTTGAATATGGACCACTTAATGACTTGCTTCTACTGAACAGAAAGTAGTGGAAGTGTAACCTCCCAGGCTAGGTAATAAAAATAATCGCTTCTGCCTGGCTGTCTCTCTCTCTCTCTCCTCTCTCTCTCTCAGATCATCTGGTCTGAAGGAAGCCAGTCACCAAGTGTGAGGGCACTTAAGCAGCCAGTTGAGAAGTCCATGTGGAAAGGAACTAAGGCTTTCCTCCAATAACTAGCACCAACTTGTTAGCCATGTGAGTGAGTCATCTTGCAAGTAGATCTTCTAGCCTCAGTCAGACCTTCAGATGCCTATAGTCTCAACTGAAACCCTGACTGCAACTTCATGAGTGACTCTACACTGAAAGTTCCCAGTGTAGTTTCCCCACAGAAACTATGAAAATAATAAATGTCTATTTTGGGGACAATGAGACAATTCTTTACACAGCCACAGATAACTAATATAATTGGTAAGGAATTAAAAAGACAACATAAAATTTTACATGACTCTCCCATTTAACAACTGCTGCTTAAGATGAAAATAAAAAATGTTATTTAAACCACAACTAGCAAATTTAACTTTCTCCATATGTTAAATAAAATGATAAAGCAAATACCAGAGAAAAATCTCACCTTGCAAGTCACTGTTCCAACAACTTGCCATGTATCCGCTATACCCTGTTTATCATATTGCATGGATTTTACCTTTTCAGTGATAGAAATAGAAACTTGTGGTTTTCCTTTGTACGTTCCAGTTTTCCAAGCTGGCTGTTTTTGTGGCTGAGTCACAGATGCAAAATTGGTATTATCTAATGAATTCTTTAAGTTGGCATCTAATAAAGTGCCAAACGGACAAGCCTGCAGAAGCAAGTCAGGCAACTGGCTCAATTTTGTATTTAGCTCAGAGTCATTTTTTTGACCTGAATAAAGAAAATCCTGTATCCCAAAAAGAAATTCAAAGCCTTGTGAAACTCCACTAACACTAATTAATGGCGGACGAGGGGACAGAGTTTGTTCAACTAGTGGAACACAAGCATATATAATGTCATTCTTCAGAAAAGCAACAACGGGCCAGAGTTCTTCACCTCCTATCAAGAGTCCATAAATGGATGTTTTATTGATGCGTGAACAGCTATCACGACTCTCAACAAAGTCTTTATCATCATCCAATAATCTAAGTTCAAAGAGCAGTGCTTTAAGAAAGGGACCATCTTCGGGAATAGGCACATAACTTGCTCCATTGAAGACTCTGGCTCGTTTTTCAACCGTTGGATACCGCCTGCATTATGGAAACGGAAACATTATAAGTGATTCTTCCAAGTAAAACCAAGATGAAAGAATTTTTTAAAAACTCCCAAATATAAGGCAAACAGTAATAATAATAAAATACATGAGAAACAAATACATACACACAACCACAAATGCCAACAACCAAAAAATTATAATGCCCATTAAGTTACTATTAGAGTAACTTTCATATTTGGTATATAATCTGTTATTGAAAATGCTTAATTCAATTTATTTATTTAGTTTAGGTAGAGTACATGATTCTAATTCAAAATCCTTGTCTCTCAGCCACTCAGATATCATCTTGGTCAGCAAGGAGTATATACTTGAACCATTTTAGGCATCTATAAGAACTTTTTTTTTCTTCTGATTCTGTCTTAGCAGCTACAGTAGGACTAACAAAGTGGTTCAATTTAACCCTCCACAATTTTGGATTCATTAGTTGAGATGGTATAATTTTAAAAGGAATGTTCTATTCTACTCAACCTATAGTGAATGACAGGTACCCTGAGTCTTCTTGCCAATCCCTACAAACACAAGGAAGATCATTTTAGTAATAACGGTTTATCTCTATGGCCCTGGAAGATACTTTTAGGTAATAAAAAAGAATAAAATCAGAATGTTTTTGCATGTGCTGAGTTGAACAGTAAGCAGTTACTAATTTATCTTTTCTTTGGTTGGAAACAGAAGATGTTTTTGCTTATTTACAGAAATCTGTTAGATCACAGTTTCTCAGTTCCAAAATATGTACTTTTCCTCATTCCTTCTACCTCCACTCCAAAGTCCAGAACAACGTCATTTATCAGCTGTTAACTTTTGAGTAAATCACTTAACTTCCCTTAGCCTATCTTCTTGTTTGTAAATAAAGGGGTGGCAACAAATCAGCAGTTTTTACCAGAGTCAAAAACATACCTGGCTAAAACAGTTTTTGCTAAAAAAAAATTGATGTTTATTAATATTTAAAAAAAATAAAAGGCCGGGCGCGTTGGCTCAAGCCTGTAATCCCAGCACTTTGGGAGGCTGAGACGGGTGGATCACGAGGTCAGGAAATCAAGACCATCCTGGCTAACATGGTGAAACCCCGTCTCTACTAAAAAATACAAAAAAAACTAGCCGGGTGATGTGGCGGGCACCTGTAGTCCCAGCTACTCGGGAGGCTGAGGCAGGAGAACTGCGTGAACCCGGGAGGCGGAGCTTGCAGTGAGCTGAGATCCGGCCACTGCACTCCAGCCTGGGCGACAGAGCCAGACTCCATCTCAAAAAAAAAAAAAAAAAAAAAAAAAAAATATATATATATATATATATATATATATATATAAAAAATAGAATGTATTCAAAGTTATCTATATGTAGGCTGGGTGCAATGGCTCACCCAGCACTTCCGGAGGCTGAGGTGGGCAGATCACTTGAGGGCAGGAGTTTGCAGGAGTTTGAGACCAGCCTGGCTAACATGGTGAAACCCTGTCTTTACTAAAAATACACAAATTAGCTGGGTGTGGTGGTGCATGCCTGTGATCCCAGCTACTCGAGAGGCTGAGGCAGGAGAATCTTGAACCCGGGAGGTGGAGGTTGCAGTGAGCTGAGCTGAGATCTTGCCACTGCACTCCAGCCTGGGCAACAGAGTGAGACTCCATCTCAAAAAAAAACACACACACACACACAAAACAAACAAACAAAAAAAAACCACCAGCCAACCAAAAAACCCAAAAGCAGTTACCCATGCATAGGTAAATCTCACTTACATTCTGATGCATTTTCTTGAGTGAGAAAGGGGAAGAATCAGGTAGCACACCAGTAATGACATGGCATAGCAGGTTAATGCCATTTATTAATCTAAATCTCTGTATATGAATAGTAGAGATCTCTGTACTAAACTGTAGTCCAATCTCTTATTATCTAATTTTCTAGAGGATAAAGTTCTTAAGTATAAAAATTTCACAACTGACTGTGAAGATAAGTTAATCTGGGACCCTTATACAATGTCTCAATATGTGTTCAATGAATATTTTGTTGGATGACTCAACCTATCATTTCTAATTTATTATATGCTTTTTCTAAAACAGGATTCAAAGCTTAAATGGGTCTACAACTATGGGGTATGATACCGGCCTAAGCCAGATGTAACTGGATGCTATTATTATCTGGAAAGGAAACCTTTAAACCAGAATCTTAACCAAGTTTTGTCATGGTAAATAAGTACTTAGATAGAGAAAATATCATTTGCCTTCTTAAATCTTAAATATTGGCCACTTATTGACACTTATGTCAGTGCATATCTGTGTAGCTCTAACACCTGCCCCAAGAGGTTAGAAAACTGAAAATACAATAAAATTTAACTAAGTCATTCAATGATACAGAATTAAATTATTTGAACCCAACTTGCTACCTCCATAAATGTATTGAAAAGCCCATCCAAACATATCTGACTTTTTATTCTGAAATAATATCCTGAGCACAGTTAAAAGTCATTCTGAAAACTAGGATTTAAGAAACTTATTTTTTTAAGTAAAAATAAAAGTTTACCTCTATGAGATATTAAGATAAAAAGTTTACTCTTTTTAAGTAAAAAGTTTACCTCTATGAGATATTAAGATAAGCTACAAAAGCAACAGATATGGTATTGGCACAAGAAAGACAAAGCACTAGAACTGAGACAAACCAACATTTATATGAGAAGACATAACTAACATTACCAATAGCCTCACAAATTAATGAAGACATGACATACTGCTTAAAAGGTGGTGTCAGAAAAACTGATCCACAGTACAGAGAAAAACAAAATGGGATTCCTACTTAACACCATATCCAAAGATGGACTACATATGGGTTATAGACCTAAATGTAACAGGTGAAATTATAAAGTTAAGAGAAGGTACTGTAGGAAGATATTTTTGGGAAATATGGGTAAGAAACAACTTCAACAAATTCCCAAAAGCGACTACTTCGATTGCATCAAAATTAGTGATTTCTGTTTAACCAAGGGAAACATAAAGTTAATTGACGATGGTAAAATTAAAGAAAATATCAGTACTTTCTAAAAATGACATAGAACTAACATCAAGAATACAAAACAAACTCCTACAAATTCAGAGGAAAAAACAAGCAACTTTGAAAGAAAAAAAAGACATGTACAGGCAATTCACAGTAAAGGAAACTTAAAGGACTAACAATCATTATTACACACAGAAATGCAAACGAAAATAAGATGTCCTTTACTGGAAAAAATTAAATGTTAGGAAAGAATGGAGATATGGGAACCCCTTCTTGCTGCTAGTGAGTGCGTAGGTGGGTGAACGTGCAGATTATTTGGCAGTCTTTAGTCAAAATCGGCATAGACATGCCCAATGGACCAATTTGAGGATGCATACTTTGGCAGTGTTCTTTGGAGGCAAAATTTGGGAGAGGTCGTCACTAGGGAAAGGGGACAGGTAAAATGTGTAGGATGTGAACCATGGAGTAATACAGAGCAAGAAAAAACAATGGCCTAGATTGTACTGTCCAACACAGTAGAACTACCCACATGTGGCGATTTAAACTTAAATAAAAATTAATTAACATTACCCAAAAGTAACAATTGAGTTCCTCAGTTATGCTAGCTGCAGTTCAAAAGCTCAATAGGTACTTGTGGCTAGTGGCTACAGTATTAGCCAGTACAAATTAAGAACATTTCTCCTTTCCATTATCATAAAGAATTCTATTGGGCATGCTGCCTTAGATGAACACAAAGTATCATGGATGTTTCTTTAAAATAGTACTGAGAAATCTGACAAATGTAACATTAGGAAGTGAAGTCTAAAGCACATTTAATTATGTAATTTGAAAAATGCATACAATGAAAAAGGGTAACATCGAAGATGTAAGAGCTACCTGTCAAGGGGAGGAGAACGGCAGTTAGAAATAAGTAACCAAAGGGAATATGTAACCAAAGTAAAATGAGAGATACTTTGGATGGACTGATGCGCCTGGTAAAGTATTTACTAAAGAATATATATAATCTCCTGTATTTGAGATCCAACAACAAATGTTGGGCTTAGTGTCAGCCAGAAATCCTGCGGGGATATGGTAAACTCCAACTCTGATGCCCTCCGGAACAAAAACTGTTTAGGTTGCAAAGAAGGAATTTTTCATATCCTCATTGCCAACCAATTTTCATTTAAAATTACAATCATTTTTTTTCTGCCTCGATCTCAATTCTACTATGGTGCTACTTCACTATAAACTTTCTTCAGGGAAGAACGAATTGGGACAAAAAAGAATTATCAACGACCAGAGAACAGAAGGTGAACAGACCCAGTCGATTGCCACCAACATTTTACAATGAGTTATTGTATAATTCTCTTAACAGAGCTATTTTGATTACACAGGGCAAATTCTAAAAGTGGGACCAGATCAACTTAACACAATATACGAAAAAGTGAATTAATTTTTTTTGTGTTTCTATTTTCTTCAACAATTAGGAACTGTAAACAGATGATTTCTACCAATGACACAAATTTACAAGATAAAAATAAAAATCTGGGTAGGGCACGGTGGCTCACGCCTGTAATCCCAGCACTTTGGGAGGCCGAGACGGGTGGATCACGAGGTCAGGAAATCGAGACCATCCTGGCTAACACGGCGAAACCTATCTCTACTAAAAATACAAAAAATTAACTGGTCGTGGTGGCGGGCGCCTGTAGTCCCAGCTACTCGGGAGGCTGAGGCAAGAGAAAGGCGTGAACCCGGGAGGCGGAGCTTGCAGTGAGCCGAGATCGCACCACTGCACTCCAGTCTGGGGGACAGAGCAAGACTCCGTTTCCAAAAAATAGCGATAACAACAACAACAACAAAAAAAAAGTCTGATGTAACTTAGCATGGATTTTTCAGTAGAATAAAATGTTCCTGAATGATTTTGTCAATGCATGTTGAAAATCTGAAACATGTTTAGTGCTCAGTAAATTTTCTACCTTTCCCTTAGTCATCTCCATTTTAATCCTAAGCAGACGGAGGTCATTTTAAAATCCAATACTAATAGAAAACATACACCGTAATACTTAATATGTACGAGTCATCAACTCAATTCTCACAACACTGTAAGGTAAGACTATTAAAATCTCTATTTAACAGACGAAACAGAGGTCTGTTAACTGGCTAGTCCAAGGTCACGCAGCTATTCGTGGCAAACCTGGGCCACGAAGCACCACAAAACTATGCTACTTCATCGATCAGGATTCAGATTTGCATTTACCTGGAGAATCTCACGGTGCCACAAAGTGGAGTTCCCGGTTCGTGACTTATAAGCCACACTGCCCGCTGCGCCATGGTAAGTCAGTGAAGCATTAACTCATCTCATAAATAAGGTCGCCACCGAGGAACAGTGCAGACCGGCTGTCTCAGAAGCCTCAAGGCTCATCTTGCGCCACAAACCGGTCGCGCTCAGCAGAGAGGTTATTTTTAGGTGAGGTAACTAACACTTCTGAGTCGCTCTAGCTCAACATACACCACAAAAAGTTCTAAGAACCCCAACCTATAACGTTGAGAAATTTACCTATCCCCTGCAACTCCGGTACTTTCTTCCTCTAAATTCCACTTCCGGAACGGTGGCCCGCAAGGATCAAAGTTCCTCATATACCGTAGCGTCGAGCCTCTTTTCGGATCGCCAGCCGCTTGTTTTCTTCACGGGCCCCTCCCGACAACCTCCGGGACGCGCGCAGTTCCACTTCCGGCGTGTGAGGCGGTGACAATGGGAGCAGCGCGGGTGGCGCCGGGAGGCAGCTGACAGGCGTTTGCGGCTTCGCTTCATGGCAGCTCTCCCGCCCCGCCTGGGATCTGTGGGGAGTGGGGGAGCCCGCGGCGGCCCGGAGCCAGGGTTGGCGAGCCGAGCGGAGACCTGTGCGCCGCGCCTCTGAGGCGCAGCATGTGAAGCGGAGACGGCATCCAGTGCGGGGCGAGCCTCTCAGCCGGCCGGGATGGCTACCACGGCCGAGCTCTTCGAGGTGGGCCCCGGCGGCTCTTCAGGGAGTGGCAGGCTCGGGGTTTGCAGGCAGCTAGGTGGGCGGGCTGAGGAGCGGGCGTTTGCTGGCTACCCAGGAGGAGCCCTCGGGAGAGAGACGCGAAACTGAAGGGTTGGGGTGGCAGCTCCGTGTTAGCGCGGGCGGAGCGTGAAATGGGGGAGGGGTGCTTGGGGCCGAGGTGGGTTGGGCGACCGGTCGGCCGAGAGGGGAAGCCGGGTGGCCGAAGGGAGGAGGGTTGGTTTTCTCTGTGGGGGCAAGAGGGGGAGTCTGGAAGGTTCGGGTGTTGGAAGATGTCTACTCGGGATGAGTAGTGGGAAGGGCTGACTCAGGACGAGGAAAGAGAGCCAGGAGCCTCAGGTTGGGCGAGTCTTGTCGCTGGGATTCTTGCGGGAATAATAGCAGGAAGCCACTTAAGATGGGGACTCTTGGGGGCTTCTCGTTTTGAATAATTATTCCATTAGTAAGGCTGCAGGTGGCATTCATAGGCCTTCCAGTTTAACCTTACATTTGAAAAGGCTGGGACAATTTTTTTTTTTTTTTTTTGTACAATAAAGGCCTACTTATCTCTTTCGACTGAAGGGAGGCAAAATTCAAGTGAACACTTTATTTCATATAATACATAATAATACACTGAAAGCATTTACGTGTATTATAAAATAAAACCGAAATGAATACTATAAAACGAACACTTCGTTTCATATATATAATGCACCTTAAGTGTATTATATTCATTTACGTGTATTATAAAATCACCAAACTGCAAGCTAGAGAATCCTTAATACGTAATAGAATACTATCTTTCCTCGAGCGTTTTCAGTATCTAAACCTTAAAATTTAATTTCGTGAAGTCTGGTGTAAGAAGCTGTGATAAAAGTTTGAGATAATAGAATAGGAAAACTAATTGGACTACAAAACAATGAAACTTATAAAGCATCTCGTGTGAAATAAATGAAAACACATGAGAAAAAGGAAAAGACCCCTTTTGTGTGTGTGTGCTTGTGTTTCACATTGAATAACAAAAGTGTAATAATTGAGAAGACTGTAATCCACAATAGGGAACTTCTCCATAAGTGAAAATGGTATCCTTTTTCTGCCTAAGATTCAGCAGTTTTTGTGGCTTACAATTTGAATGCCACAGTTTTGATAAATGGAACTTTACATTTGTTATTGTTACTATATTTTGCGTATCAGTCAGCTTTCGGATCGATAGTGCTTTTTTTGAGAGGAATAATATATGTTATTGTTATAATAACTTGTAATAAGACAGTAATTTGTGAATGAAGGATCGTAATTACAAGAAAGACTTCAGAGATACTGTATTTTCTCAGTTAAGTGTTGGGAGATAAGCTACATTAATTTCTGTAATTCCAAAATTGTGCCATCTGTTTATTGACACAAGATCGGGGAGACACTTTTCCTACTAGGAACTTTTACTGTGTCCCTGGGTACTAAGTAGTGCCGTGGTTCCTTGTTTTATTTTTCACATCTTACAGAGGGAGAACACGATGAAGTTGTATGAGATCTTCAATTAATGTATTTGCTGACAAGCCAGGTCTTAACAGAAAACTATTATATATGTTGTCATACAGTTCATAAGACATTATCCTTTGAGTTAATCCAGTTCCAGTTGTACTTTGGACCATCTTATGTATATTTTTATTTAAATATTTGACCGCATGATTTTGGTAACTTATTTGGAAATATGTTTGATTTTTTTTCTCCCTCTCCCTGGCGGGGAAGGGGAGGAGGTGGGGAAATATATATTTTGCTTTCTGGGGTCCGGCCATTAGGTTGAGTAGTTAAACCAGATTAGGATTTAATGTAATTTAGTGACTCTAGTTATATGGTAGCCAGTAAGATTCAGTGATAATAGAGACAGTAGCCCTTACACTACTCTTAGGCCAGAGGGTTTTTAGAACAAATTTAAACATATATATAGATCGTAAAACTTATGTGACTTTTTTTCTTCACTGTATGTAGATTGTTGCTTCGTCAAAATTAAAAGCATAATAGTTATAATTAAATTTTAGTAGTTATAATTAAGAAGTGCATTTATTTTTTCTGGTACTGCTATGAATCCAGCCCTACAGTGGACTCGACTCTTGAGTAAGTTTTCATCCCCAAGTGAAAAGTTGATCTCTTGGCGTTGGAGGGAGGAGGAAAAACAAATCTTGTCACTGCTCAGTTTCCTGTAGCTACTGCCATAGCATCTAGATTTTAGTACAAGTCAAAGGAAGTATCTTTTCCCCCTGCTTCCCTTTCTTAGTCCCAGCTGGAGAACTGTGGAAAACAGAAGGCAGGATGTAGTCAAGGATGTTTGGTTTTTATTCATCCTAATTTTCATGCACTATTAAATAGAATTGTACTTTCACTTTTCATGTTAATAGAAGTTAAATGAAAACAAAATTAAGCTTTTGAATCCATGAAATTTAATTGTGTTAACTATACTTCTTTTAAAATCTTATTGGTCCCATGACACTTAATGAAAACAACTTCATATAACAAAATCAGACTGTAATATATTTCCTCAGTTGACCGAAATGATTTAGTAATAGATGATTTGGCTATTGTAATAGTGTATATCCTGAAAGTTTCTCAGAATACCTTCTTAGTTTCAACTTTTGTTGACAGATCTTTCTGAAAAGATCCATGTACAGTGTTATTAAATCTTCTCAGGATAGACATTCTGAATAAGGATTGTTACGTGGTGTAGATAAATTGTATCTTCTACATATGCAAAGTGGCTGGGCTCAGAAATTCCTTTTTAAATTTTCTTTTCTTTGTTTTTGAGACACGGTCTTGCTCTATTGCGCAGGCTGGAGTGCAGTTGGGTGATCACTGCTCACTGCAGCCTCTACCCTCCAGGCACAATCCATCCTCCCACCTTAGCCTCCAGAGTAGCTGGGACTACAGGTGCCTGCCACCACACCCAGCTAGTTTTTAAAATTGTTTTGGAGAAACAAGGTTTCACCATGTTGCCCAGGCTGGTCTTGATCTCCTGGGCTTAAGCAATCTGCCCACCTTGGCCCCCCGAGGTGCTGGGATTACAGGTGTGAGCCACTGTGCCCCGCCAGAAGTTCTTTTTATGTTGTTGCAAATATTCCTTTCTCCTTTTATTGTACTACTGAGGACATTCTTTTCTCATTTGCTTATTTTTTCCCCATAATTCTTCAAGAATCTTCCCTTTTCTCTGGTTAGACTACCATTATGGGAGAGTTCTTGGTTAGTAACTAGGGTTAATTATTCATTCATTCTACAAATATTTGTTGAGTACCTATTAAGTTCAAGGTAAAGTTCTTGAACTTTATCTGCATGCCTCAAAGGGCATGCCAAAGAAATGTTAATCCTACAAGATGTGTTGCAAAAAAACTAACAGGGTTCAGTGGCCAAATAACTTATGGAAATGAGCATAGTCTGTTTTGTTGGAGATTTGCAGTAAACCTTAATATGTTAAAGATGATGAGAAGTCCATTTCCCAAACTTTTTTCACCATGAGACTCTTTTCTTTTTTTTAAGAGATTTTTATTTTCTACTGCTTGTTAACTTAATTTTGTGAATTACAAGGTACATATTTTGGAAAATGTTAAGTATAGAACCTGTCCTTAGCAAATAGAGGGAGAGAAGGTAGATATATGATACTATACTCTTAAAAATAAGGTTATAAATGGTTTCAAAGAAGTCTAGATCAAGTGCCATAGGTGTCAAGAGGATGGGAAGATTACCTCTAGAAGAAAGAAAGGATTAGAATTATCTACAGAGGGATTATTATCATTTGAATTATCTACAGAGGAAAAATTAGATTTGAGTTTGTGGAACTGGGTGGAGGGACTTTTCAGTAAAGCAGACAATGAAGGCTAAGACATAAAGGGAGTGTTGTAAGCCCTGGAGATAAGGGGAACATTCATTTTGGCTGGAGTATAGCACACATAAAGAGGAGGAGTGGCATGTAAGGTAAATTGGGGTTTAATTTTGGAGGTCTTAAATGCCAGGTTTAAAAATTCATTTTTTTTTTCTTTCTGTAAATGTAGGTTCCTTGATAATAGTGCTTGAGGTCAGGTAATTTGGCTGTGATAGCAATGGCTGTTTGACTTCCAAATTAGAGTATGAATATTGAAGAACACATTTTCCCACATTTATTTGTCTCTTAATTTTTCAAACTAAATTACAAAAGCTGTTTAAAAATGGACTTGTTGAAAATGATGTCTCTTGTTCAATTAGCTAGCCAGGTGTATACTAATGAGCATGAGATATACAAGTAAGGAGCACCCCGTTAACTGTCAAGGTGCTGAAATGCTATTTATTTTAACCATATTAGTTGTTAAGTGTTTATAGACATTGGCTATCAATTGTAGCCAATGTAGCCAATCATGTATATGATAAAATGTATTCATTCTGCAAACATTGAATGAATGTGTAGGCCAGACATTATTCCAGGTACTAGAGTTAAAAGATGTTGAGTTAAGCATCTGATTGAGGGAGACAGACATGTTAATACATTAATACAGTGCAGTGGGAGTTTAGAATCTTTTCCAGGGATTATTAGGAAAGGTTTCATTTAGTAATGGCATATAGAAATTGGATATTGATGGATGAGTAGAGATTTTTCAAACAGGAGAAGGGCATTCCAAGGCAGAGACACAAGATGACTCCAGTTTGTTGTAAGGTGAGGCAACTGAGAAGAGTTAGGATGTGTATGTGCATATTTTAAGAACAGGGAGTGTTGGCAAGGCATTGAGTCCATGGGAGTTCGAGGGCAGTTTTTCATTTTTTTGTTTTTTTTTTTTTTTTTGAGAAGGAGTCTAGCTCTGTTGCCCAGGCTGGAGTGCAGTCACATGATCTCGGCTGACTGTAACCTCCGCCTCTGGTTTCAAGCGATTCTCCTGCCTCAGCCTCCTGGGTAGCTGGGATTATAGGTGCCTGCCACCATGCCCGGCTAATTTTTTTATTTTTAGTAGAGATGGGCTCTCACTGTGTTGGCCAGG